TTGGCAGTTTTTGGCCAGGGCTGGGTTTAAACTCGCCACCTCCAGTATATGGGGCCAGTGCCCTACTCCTTTGAGCCACAGGTGCTGCCCAGCCCCAATTCTTTGTTCCTAGTAGATGGGGAGGGAACAGGATAAAGACCCCTGATACCCTTCCCCAGCACCTGGGGCTTAGGGAGCCTGTACCTTCAGAAAGCTTCCCAAGAGTGCTTGGGTCACCTGCCCTGGGTCAGACACAGGATACAGATAGGACCCCACTCAGCATTAGGGCTGCAGCGGACTCAGGGCTATGCATTCTGAAGGGAGCTTAGAAAACCAGGCACTACTTAGATCCCTGTGGCCCATCCCTCACCTCTCCAAGCCAGCTATGAACAACTGTTGCTGCCAGCTGCCTTTTAGCTGTGACTGCTCTTTCTGGGGATGTGGAGGCCACGGATGGATCTGCCTTGTATAGCATGGTGGTTAAGATTCTGGAGTCACTGCCTCTGAAACAACGTGGGACTTCGGGCAACGTGTTTTACCCAACTGAGCCTCAGTTGTCCTTGCCTGTTCAGTGGGCACAGTTCCCTCAGTCCTCTCACCTCAGAGGACTGTTCTCAGGCATCCAATATAAAGTGTTGGACGCAGCTCTCAGCTCATGTTCATTTAAGGGGTTGAGGGGCCATATGGAAATGGGTATCTGGGTTGGGGGCAGCCCAAGCAAGATCTAGGCCATCAGCACCCCACTTACTCGCAAAGAATGATGCCGTCCTTGAGGCCATCCATGAAGTTGTTGCCAATGCGGCGCCCTGTCACCCCCTCGATCCACTCTCTCAGCTCCTGCTCCCGCTGGAGGTCGTACTTCTGGGCCAGCTGGGGGTGGGGGGATTACAGAGGAGGCCATGAGAACACTGTGGGGAGTGGCTTGGGTTCCTTTGGTCCCATCTAAGCCTCCCTCAGCCTCATCTTCTTCCACATCCCTTTCCAACTAAGGCAATTCTACCCCAGCGTCCATGGGCGGGAGTAGGGGAGGCTCTGGGGTGGGCTGAGGGCCAGAGCTGAGGTGGCACCTGCCCAGGGGGCCATTCCGGGCATTCTGAGGTTTGGCACCAGGGAATGTAGACAAGGGGGGCTGGATGTGGACAGCCAGATTCTTAGACCCTGAGGGGCGAGGGGCAGTGCCTGGTCTCTGGTACCCTCTCCAGGCCAAACTTGGGGCTCTCTTCCCCTGGCCTTAGCCCCCTGTTGGAGGAGGGGGTATCCAGGTAGGGGAGGATATCTAGGAGGTGCCTCTGGTGCTGACTTGCAGCAGACTGCTCTGTCCTACATCTCCATCTCTCAGTGTCTCTCCAAGTCCCCATCTCCCTGGCTCTTTCTCTGGCTAGGGATGGGATCAGGCCTTTCTCCTACCCCCACCCCCACCCCTTGCATTTCTGTATGTTTCTTTTCCTCAGCCCTTTCTTTCCTCGGCCTAGTCTTGGGGTCCCCTTCTCTCTGGGTGCTGTCTGGCCATGGGTGGGGCTGATGAATCTGGCACCTTTGCCTCCCTAGGTCTTTCTATCCAGATTCCAGGTTCCTGGCCTCTACTCCATGTCTGTTACCCCTCTCTGCCCCTCCATCACCATCTCTCAGTCTTATCTGGCTCTTGGCTCACCCTCCCCCGACTATCTCTCTGGTCTCTCAGGCTCTCAGTATCTCCGTCTGCGTCTCTTCTCCCCCTCCCCCTCCCTTTTCTCCAGAACCCTTCCCCTCCCCCTTTCTTCAGAACCCTCCCCCGCAGCTCAGCCAGGCTCCCTGTCCCTGGGGGATAGTGCTGCCCCTTCTCCTGGTTGGGAGGGGCAGCCCCCTCACCTGGCCCCAGCCTGCCGCTCCCCTCCCCACCAGCCCAGCTTTATAAAGCAAACCGGCCCTTATATAGCGTGGCTGGGGCTCCCTGAGGCCTCCTTATATGGCGTGGCTGCTCTGCGCAGTCCTGGGGGCGGCGGCAGTGGGGGGAGGGGGCAGCACAGGGATCAGTCTTCAGTTGGAGCACCAGCCCCCTACTCGTGCCCAACTCCAGCCAGAGGATCCCCCAACCCAGGTTGCAATACCTGTTCCCCACTCCCTCGCTGTGGGACCCTGAGAAAAGCCACCCTGAGCCTCAGTATTCCCCTCTGTTAAATGGGGCTAGGACTCTTCCCAGCAGCATTCTTGGGGGGATTCCAGTGGGGTGGGAATGCCAAGTTCCCTACCCTGGATGCCTGACCCCATTCTGGGGTAGAGGGGTGAGTCCAGGGCCTTAGTTCTGTGCCTGCCTACCTGGGTAACTTGCCTCTCCTCTCTAAACCTCAGTTTACCCATCCATGGAATGAAGGCAGTGTCTGGGTATCTTCCTAGCTGGACAATTAGGAGCCCCCTGCCCTCCTCTGCTATCTTTCTCTACCCTCACCATCTCCCCCAGTTTATGGGCTTCACCTCCCTGGAACCCCAGCTCTCAAGCACTCCCCAATATCTTTTTCAGACTGGGGGTATGGAAAAAATCAGCGAATCTTCTCCCCAACATCCCTCTCCAAGAACACGAAGGGTTAATAGAGGACTTACAGGTAGGGAGCTTTGCAGTAGACTGACCCCCTCTGTTTATGTAGGGCTGTGTCCCCCCCTCCCAGCACCCCGTCCACCCCCTAACAGTAGCTGAGAGCTCTGAGATGTTCCCAAGGGGGAGCAAGGCAGTGATTGCCCCATGCCTCTTCCTCTCCCCCTCTCAGGTTCTAGGTCACATGGGGTAGGTAGGAGGGGGTTCAGAGAACACCAACAGTGGGGCTTGGCCTGGCAAGATGTGTGGGTCAGGCTAGGGAGGCCCTGCAGCCCTACCTTATTCTTGACCTCGGCTGACAGCCCATAGGCAGGGCCTCGGTTGAAGTGAGCAGAGGACATGCTGGCCGGTGGACTGTGTCTGGGACAGCGGTGGCACTGACGCTGAGGACTAATGCAGCAGCTGAAGCTCCGACTGCACCCTCTTCACTCCTCACACGTTTTTGAAGCTCCGGAGGCACCCGGGTCTCTTCTAAGGCCATTCCATTGGCCATAGAGGCCTGCCAAGGGGCGGAGCACCCCCCACCTCGGCAGCCCCTCCTTGTGATGTCAGGGCCTTGGTATTGGGAGCTGATTGTATCATTGTTTCCACCTAGGGGGGCAGCCTGTATTATTCTTAGGGGGGCTTGATCATACACAGACCAACCTTCTTCTGTCACCCTGCTGCCCACTGTCTACTGGGTCTCTGGCTGGGTCTCTAAATTCTTTGTCTCGCTCTCTCCAGTTTTGAGGCAGGACTGTCACTTGTGGTAGTTTACAGAGTGCCATCCTGTGTTTAACTCCAGATACCTACAGTCTATACCCTTAGGCAAGTGTCTTTCTTCTCTGAGCCTCTATAGCAACATGTGTAAAATGGGCTAATCACAGCGTCTGACTTATTGGAGGTGTGACAATCAGAATAAATAATGCCTTGGATGTGACCAGCACAGCTCTTGGCACAAGTGAAGGACAGAGATGATAGCATTCTTTCTGCTGAGGGTCTAGCACCCCAGTTCTGTCCCCTCTAGCCTCTCATAAGCACTCAGGGAGCAGAAATCCTGGATCTGAGCTGTGGAGTGACTGTGTGATCACGTCCCAGGGAACTAAGTCCCTGTCAAGTAATCCCACCTAGCCAGATTTCACCCCGGACCACATGGGTGGATGACATGTCCACATATATCACGGCCGTGATGGTGATATTAGGACGACATATCAGCATCCTGGCAGCCACTAATGATATAATAAGGACATGCAGTTAGATCATGGCAATGATATGCCCAAGTAACAACAGCTTTAGGTCTGGCCTTGTATCCACTCAATCCTCACAACACCCTCAGAAGTGGATGCTGTGATTACACCTGCTTTTCAGGTGTGGAAACTGAGGCACAGCAGCATGGAATCACTTCCCCAGTGTCACACAGCTGGCTAGTGAGTAGAATTTGAGCCTGAGTCCCATAAACCTTAGCTATGAGCTAATGCAGAGTTTCTCAATCTCAGAACTGCTGACAGTCAAGGCTTGGTAATTCCTCCTGGTGAGGGCTGCCTTAGGCATCCCCGGACTCCTCTACCTGCTGGATGCCAGCAGCACCCAATTAGTTTTGACAAGCATTTGACAAGATATTGACAAATGTCCCCGGATGTGCGTGGAGTGAAAGAAGATCACCATCCTTTGAGTGCCACTGAGCTAAGGCGATATGCTCAGGATTAATTGATTGTGCATCATGATATGTTGAAGATACCCTAAAATACATAAAGTCAGCAACCAATTAGCATCTGCTATGTACTAATTATTTCGGATCTGTTAACTAGTTTCTCAGCGCAGCCCTAGGAGGTGAGGTAGGAGGTGGGATCTGTATAAGGGACAGAAAGGTGGAGTGGAATGTTAAGGTCAAATAACACGAGGGGGGCGGAGCTAGGATTCAAATTCTCAGATTCCTGAACCCTGCCCACTCTGACCCGCCCTCCGTGTGGCACAGGACGCTAATGCGAATAATAGAACCAGCGTCTCGCAGGCGCCCCCTGGCGGTCGGAGAGGGCGGGAGGGGCGGGGCTGGGCGGCAGAGACGTCACGCGGTGAATCACTCTGCCCCGCCCCCGGGTCCGCAGCCGCCTGGCCATTTATAGAATCCGTTCGGGCTCTGTAGTCACTGCCCAGGCACGACGCGGGCGGGGTAGGGGAGCTCTTGGCTCGCCTCCCGACGGGGCAGACCTGGATTCCCCCGAGGGGGCAGCCCTTTGTGCGTCAGCCTCGTTTCTCCGATTGTGGGTCTGTTTCAGTATCTCTGTCTCTGGGTCGCTGTTTGTCCGTCTGTCTGGGTCATAAAGGCTTTTTCTGTCTCTGCTTTTGTCTCTGTGTCTCCATGACTCTGCCTCTGTTTTTCTCTATCATTAGGTCTCTTCGCTCTCTCCATTAAACCTCCATCTCTGTATCTCAGCTTCTGTTCCAAGTCTCTGAGTCATTCTGCTTCTCTAATGTTAATGTCGCTGTATTATTTCTGTCCCTCTCCACGTCTATCTAGGAGATGGGTACAGAGGCAGACAAAAGGGGGACTGAACCCATCGCTAGACCCCAGTCCCAGGGAACTCCCCCATAGCTGATTGCCCTTGTCAAATCCCCTACTCAGCTTCTATCTGGAGTTTTTCAGACTCAAGCCCCTTTATGCCTCAGTTTCCCATGTAAATGAGAAGTGCCAGACCTTGTAAGGAACAGAGTTTCCCAAGGGATCCAGGGCAGTCTTGAAAAGGAAGCTGTGGAGCGGTGCCTATGGCTCAGTGAGTAGGGCGCCAGCCCCATATACCGAGGGCAGCAGGTTCAAGCCCGGCCCTTGTGGCGGAGGGCCTGTAGTCCCAGCTACTCTGGAGGCTGAGGCAAGAGAATTGCCTAAGCCCAAGAGCTGGAGGTTGCTGTGCACTGTGATGCCAGGGCACTCTATCGAGGGCAATAAAGTGAGGCTCTGTCTCTAAAAAAAAAAAAAGAAAGGGAAGCTATGCTTCCTCTTAACTTTAGGGGACCCCCTAAGACCTTCCTGATGCTCAGAACCACTTTAAAAAACGCACACACCCCTTTGTACCTTTGTACCTGTGTCATGGAAAGAGCTGAGAGCCCACCCCGCACCATCCTACCCTGGCACTGTTCTCCTCGCCTAGCTCTCTCCTCCAGAAAACAGGCTAAGGCTGTTGATCCTAACAGCCTCTGTTTCAGGCATGCTCACTGTATGCCAGGCACTATAACATGCACAATTTCATTTCATCTTCATCACTGTTCTCTCAGAGTGGAAACTCTAAGGCCTATCTTATATATAAGAAAATCTGGGCTCAGTGCCTGTGGCTCAAGTGGCTAAGGCGCCAGCCACATACACCTAAGGTGGCGGGTTCAAATCCAGCCTGGGCCCGCCAAACAACAATGA